CTTTAATCCCAGCACTTGGGAGGCAGAGCCAGGCGGATCTCTGTGAGTTCGAGGCCAGCCTGGGCTACCAAGTGAGCTCCAGGAAAGGCGGAAAGCTACACAGAGAAACCCTGTCTTGAAAAAACCAAAAAAAAAAATTATTCCAAATACAATTAATACATGATGATTTTGAGAGATGAACAGAAAAGTAAATTTGATTGAAATGTATCATTTGGTGAAGTGGAAGAAGGTAGAATTGAACATCTATGTAGTGACTTCCATGTAGTTACCATAACTTATGAAAAGTGTTTTTTTGTTATCATGTGCACTACTGACCTTAATGACTATCTGTGTTGTCTACAGATGTTGACAATCACACCATATCTTTTCATGAGAGTAGAGAGAACAGATGTTCCACAGGCGCATAACATGATTCTGATCAAGCACAGAGTCCTGGTTTTTCCTTTTACTAATTATGAGAAATCTGCTTCATTTTACCATTCATCTGTTTTCTCAATTATAAAATTATAATGTCTGAGTGATATGAAATAATATTTATAGCATACAATTAATGCGAGAAATCCATGGAGTCTATTTAATGAGCAGAGGAATTTATTAGGGGATAACTCACTATAGCATGGGTATTTATCATAGGGTCCAGGAAAGCTGAGCTATGTCCCATGCTGATCTTCTTCCAAGATCTTCCTGGTCAGTCCCAGCATCCAGAACCATGAGGGAGTAAGGAGAGAACCGCATACATGCACCCCAGATCTTAAGGGTCCTGAGTGGCCACGCCCCAGGGGTATGTACTTCAAGATCATAGGCAGGTGTAACAGTTACCTGCTACCTCACTGGAGGCAGTGCTTCAAGGTCATAGCTAGAACAGCTACACACTACATGCAGTAATATAGAATAATGATACATGCATGCACAGACAGTTCTGGGATTTTTGAAATTCATTTAAGAATTTTATAACTGCATCTTATAATTTTGTGAGCAATTCTTGGGCAGAGTTAATTTGAGGATGGTGAGATCTCTTGTTACTTTCTGTGCTTCTGTTTTGGTAGGTCAATATCCTGCATTTCACATAAGAAATCAGTCATATTTTACTCATACTCATGTGTATATACAGGTGCATTAGTGTGTACATGTGTATCTTCAAAAATGGGAATAATTAATATCTGCTCATGACAAGGAAATTTCATTAGCAACATATGTTTGTGAAACACTAAGTAAAAGTTTTATTGAGAAATAGAGAAAAATAATTTTTAAAGTTTGGCCCTGCAAAAGATTCTTGAGGTATAAAGATTGATAGTTCAATTTCAAAAATAATCATAATTGAAAAATAACATTAAAAAATCTCTAATACAAGGAACAGTCAAGTGGAGTCAGAGAAATTTATAATTCATAAAGTAACCTGTAATATGACTTTTCTTTGGTAGACTAGGAAGGCTACAAAGTTTGATTTTTTGCTCTCATGTTTAAAAGTTCACCAGGGCTTGGGAGAAGATTCTTTGGGTAAAGTCCTTATGTAAACATGAAAACTTGAATTTGGTTCCCCAGCACCCATGTGAAACACCACACTTCGGCAGTTTCGGTGCTAAGAGGTAGGGATAGATGGGAACCTAGGGCTTACTGGCAAGTCATTCTAGCTGAAGCTGAGAGCCCCCAGGTCCAATGAAAGACACTGACTCAGAAAATAAGGTCCTACTGAGGGACACATCACAATGTCAGCCTATGGCCTCAACACATCCTCACAGAAGAGCTCACCTCCACCTTACACACATATACATCATCCATTTTCTCACACACACATACAGGTCCCCATTTCATTCATAGATATTTTACATCATTTGAATATGAAATTGATTTTATTATGTATTAATTATACAAAACATCAGATTTGATTCTAACATTTGCATGTATTCATGTAATGTGCTCTGGCCATATTCACACACACCTGGTCCTTTTCTTAGTTTTCTTCTCTTCCTTTCCTTTTTACATACTAAGCACTCCCACTTTTGTATTCATGCCCCTTCTCCAGAAATTCCACATATAAAAAAAGAGTGTGATTCATTTTGTTTGGCACAGTAATTTCGAATTCCATCCATTTTCCTATAGGTTACATGATTTGATTCTTTGTGGCTAGTTAAAACCATAGTGTGCATATAAGCTACGTTTTCTGTATCTAGGGAATGAATTTTAATGATGAGTCCTATTTTGATTTGAGCTTTCATTATAAAATTTTAAATATCTTTCCAGGGTTTTTCAAATTTCTACTATTGTAAAATAAACTCTTACAGGAGAAATAGATATGCATTTTAGTGGTATATTTGGAAAAGAATTTCTTGGTATGCTCTCTTCTCTATTATACTGGGTTTTTTTTGCTGTTATTTTATTTTGGAAGATTTATTTTACTATGCAAAGATATGTTTCATTTGTTTAACTATGTAAAGATGTGCTACATTTGTTTAATTATGTAGAGATGTGTTGCTGTTTTATCTTCCCTGCCAAGGCACCTGATTGGTCTAATAAAAAGCTGAACAGCCAATAGTGAGGGAAGCAGTACAGGCCGAACTTCCAGGCAGGGCGAAAAAGTAGGAGGAGGAATTTAGGCTGGGGGATGGGGGGCGAGAGGTGAAAAGAGAAATGATGGGCCAGACAGACAGACATGGAAGAAGCAGGAAAGTGGACATACAGGATGAAAGAAAGGTAAAAAGCCCCAAGGCAAAACATAGATGAATAGAAACAGGTTAAATTAAGTTAAAAGAGCAAGTGGGACAAGCCCAAGCTAAGAACCAAGCATTCATAATTAATAAGTCTCCATGTCTTTATTTAGACCCCAAAGAAAATGCTAACATTTTGTACATATGCATTCAGAACTTCTATCAGACTACACTATTTCACTTTTGTGAAGGGTCCTTGTACATGATACTACATTCTATAACCTCAATATTATCCACGTCTAGGCAATGTGAATTTGTACATGCAAAAATAAGTAATTTAGAATTCCTGGAAATATTGTATGGATTGTTTTTGTTCCTATTTTATGGACTTTGAAGTATTCTATGATTCAAACTAAGCCAAAACGTTTTATGTAAAGGATGGATGATTTGTTGTTAACTTGTCAACCAAGTCTGTATAATAGATTCTTCTTTAGTCTAATAAATCTTGTACTTTGCTCCCTCCCACCACCCTTGGTGTATGTATCTGTGTGTGTGTGTATGTATGTGTATGTGTGTACATGTGTGTGCATATACAGATGATTTCATAAGCTTGACTACTTTATGTTTTGCAAAATTAACTTCAGCTGTTACTTACCTTTGGGTATTAATGTGATTTCTTTTAACTGTCATGTGTACACATTTAATTTTTTGTATGACATAATACATTGGTTTTACCTGTACCCTCATTACTAGATTGTAAATTCATGGAACAGAGGAACCATGATTTGTTCACTCACTACTACCTATTATACTAACTGAGTGCTTTGAATATGAATAAAGGTTGTGATGGGCAGGAAGTGAGTATGTTTTTGGTTTTGGTTTTGTTTTTCAGATTTGGTGCATTTAACTTGTGTGTCTTCTAAAACAGCAAGAGAAGATTTAGAACAAGTAGTACAGAAATTGTTTACTCCATATACAGAAATGGAAGCAGGTAAGAAAATAGATTATTTGTAGTGGAAAGTTAATGTAACATGATATCTCATGAACTGAACTGAACCTGAATTAAAGTTCAGTATTCAGCAATAACTCCCACATACTTATTTAGTAAGGATTTTGAACACAGTTATTGCATAAATAAGAGAAGAAATGTTCATTCTTTATTGTTAAAGGAAAATAATCACACATATAGACAAAAAACATAATTATCAAAATATACATTTATACGCATACATACATGCCTGAGAAAGGGAACGTACTGGGAAATTTCTCAATTAATTTTGGTAATGTTACAGGTACTTTTTTATAACTAGATTTATTTTACAGGATTTTTTGAAAAAGCATACATTCCTTTATTAAAATGTTGATTTAACTTTCAGAAAATTAAAATATTACTTGGCAAGTATACAAGTCCTAATTATTAAATGATTATCTTTTTTTTTTTTTTGGTTTTTCGAGACAGGGTTTCTCTGTGTAGCTTTGCGCCTTTCCTGGAGCTCACTTGGTAGCCCAGGCTGGCCTCGAACTCACCGAGATCCACCTGGCTCTGCCTCCCGAGTGCTGGGATTAAAGGCGTGCGCCACCACCGCCCGGCAAAATGATTATCTTTAAGTACTACTTCTCTACCAAATACTTAGCTCTATAAATGATATCTGTTTCTGACTCATAGTTAAAGAATACGTTTCCACTTTTAATTTTTAAAATTACCACCACCACCACCATCACCACCACCACCACCATCACCCCCCAAAAAAAGCAACAGGGTACAACTAATAGCTCTTACTGGAACAAATATCGCAAATGTAGTTTGTCGGTGGTCAGAAATGTAGTGTGATAGATCTTCCTCATGTATATGAAGTAAAGGTAATTTTCATTGAAGCATTTTCATGCTTGCTTGATTCCTTTGACTTTCTTCCATTCTTCCATTGCTGTTTTCTTTAAATGATACACTTATTCAGATAGCCAGCCATTTGTTTTTATTCCTAATGGTTCTATTTACTCCTTTCTTAATACAGAGATGATAGAGTGAGATACAAACAGTTACATATTTGACAAAGTGTTCCATTTATAGTTGCTAATGTAATTTCTTTGTGAAATCCCCAGTTAAATAAATTCTTTGCATCTAAAAAAGCGTCACTTGAGTTTAGAGTTAGTTCATTTGTGTATATTTTTATTTGAATGTATTGTATAAATGTTTGAGTTACCGTTACAAATTTCATTTCAATGTTATAATATACACAACCAATTTATGTAGAGTCATAGTTTTTATCTTCTGGCTCTAATTGCATCTCTTGCTCATAACCATGAGTATTGTTTTCATTTCTGAAATTTTTCATAGTGTCTCTGTTATAATTTCAGTTTATGACTGTGCCAAATAATACACTAAACATATTATTATTCCTCACTTTTTAAATGCATTTAATTTTCTGGTTTACAAAATCAGGCTGGTGGAAATTACATGTTCGCTAACTAGCATCCACTAGCCATTTTAGATTTTTAAGATTAATCTTAATGGTGAAAGTGATCCCAGTTAGAAATGATGTATTGTTTGGAACCTGAGTGAAATTCTTTAGCAAGAACTATGCCAGAGGGGTCCTCAGGTGCACCGAGGCACTGCAAAGCCAGTTTTCACTGACACATAGGCCTTTTTATCATCAGGATGAGGTAGTGGTCATATTTTAATTAAAATGTCAGAACAAATACTGTTGGAGTTATTGAAAATGAATCACCAGATAAAGTGAGCACTGGGCCATGGCAGGTCAAAGAGGCAAAGTCACCTGCAGAAGCGAACTCAATTCATTTTCCTGCCTAAATGAAGAAGAAGCAACTTTATGAGCAATATGAACTTTTAATACATTAAAACATGTCCTTCTCTTGCAAAAAGCTTGTATTTTTACAGGCTTTTATTATGTTTTGGTTATTCGACAATCATCTGAAACTTTGTGATTTAGAGCATTGTAAATATTTTTTGCTGAAACATAACAGAATAATGTTGTGTGGCCTTTTTTTGCATTTGAGTTCTACATTCTATATGGTGCTGTGCATCATAAACCTTTATGAAAATTAGCCTAGTCACCTTACAAGGAATTTCCTTTCATGAAAAGGATGATGATCTCTTTACTACTATAACACTGATTGACAGTGTATGTGGGGAATTGTAGTAAGATTCTGAAGACAATGCCTATCTTTCTTACCTTTCTGGTTCATGAATATCAGCCAGAGCTCTTCAGATTGCCCTCTCCAAAAAAATAATTTTACTCTTACCCACCCACCAGGCTCCTTTAAGCCCATCAAATATCTCTAAATCCTTGTCTACTTTTTAATCTAAAGAAATATCAGATGATTTGTGCTTAATGAGCCTCATTCTATAGAAAAAATAAGGTCATTGTTTACAATGAATTTTCTTGTGTAGAGTCTAGAATATCCTTGTAAACATTGAGAGGTGATAAACTGAGTGGTATGTGAACCTCACTGACAGAACTTTACTGATTTCTTATTTATAATACAAGACTTTCTAATACAAGGTAAAGCAAGAATTTTGTTGATACAGTACTTTAAAATGTCTAGAATGTAGTATTAGGACAGCATCGTCTTTCTGACTTTTTAATTTGTTTTCCCTCCATTCTGCCTGGTTAGTGGAGCTGCCTCATTCCATTGTAGTCATTTTTTTCTCTAACAGCAATGCTTCCGAAAACAAATTTCCTGCATAGATGAAGTGTTAATTTGCTGCCTGGCAAAGGTACTAAATACTTGCTGTACCAGGAAATCAAATGCCATCTCTTAATTTCTTGTTTTGTATTTCAATTTTATATTCCAGAGCTTAAGCAGCTTAACTAAATTACTTACTTGTTTGCTGCACATGACATGCACCTATAGATAGTTCTTGCTTTCATTTGGTTTGACTTGACGATTTTTCTTTTACCTGCTTTATTCAGGATATGTACTTGTTTAATTAACACAATCTTATTCTGTGTCAGCTATTACTTCCTTAGTCTAGCACATCATCTTACTGATTGAAATGAGCAATTATTTATCAGCTTTAGTAGTTTTGACAATTACTTGCTTCAGAGTGCATATTATTTTTCCAGCTCTCTCTCTCTCTCTCTCTCTCTCTGCCTCCAGCTGACCTCCAAGAAAGATGAAGCAATTACATGTCTCTTTGAAGGTTCTAAGGTCAAAGCTTGATGGCTCCCTTGTATCCAGACCATTGATCTTCAGACTATGTCAATTTTCACTTTCAACATAGTTTCTTGTCAAAGCCTTAACCTTTGTGAAATCTCTTTCCTAAAATCTGTAGGGCTATTCATTTCACCCGTCTTGTATTGAATGAAGGCTGTCGTCTGAGGCAGAGAACATTTATGAACTACAAGATAGGCTCACCTAATATATACCTAGATATGACCTGGGCCCTATTAAAGACCTTCCACACCTTAGCTCACTTCCCTGCTGTGGTATTTGATGCCATTACACATAGGTGGCATTTCCCTGCATTATTTGATGCATCACTCATAGGTGGTGTTTTTAAGTAAATTCTCACAGTTTAGTGAAGCTAAACTCACTAGTCAATTTAATAAAAGCCACGTGATTTTAACTGAAATATGTTTCTTACATTCTTTTGTTAATAAGTAGTTTTTGCTACCTAATATGTCCCTGCATAAATTAGTGGTACCTCGGACTCAAATCAGTAAGAGATCCCTTGGGGCTAGAGAGAGGAATCAGTGGCTAAGAATGTCTCCTCTTCCTAAGAACCTGGCTTCAATTTTTATTACCCACATGGTAACTCACAAATGTCTGGAACTCCAGTTCCTAAGGGATTCTATGGCCTCTTCTAGCTTCATCCTGCACATGGTGCAGACATATATGCAAACAAAACACCTACCTACCCACATAAAATAAATAATTATGAAAAATTAAAAACTCCTTATAAGATCACTTCTTTCACTCAGCTCCTAATCTTTTCACACTAATTACTATGAATTGTTCAGAACAAACTAGAAAAACGGCATATTTGCTCTTCCTACAGTAGAGATATTTAAAATGAAATAAAATTACCCTAGGGCCTAGGACATTCTTATTAATTCAATGGCATATTTAGCTAAAAATTGTTCTACATTGTTTAGTAATTCAATAAGAACAGTAACTGGATAATTATACCTTTAGCATTTTCTTGATGATTCATACTGTATCTCACAGAGTTGGACTATTGTCATAAACATTCCTTATTATCAGTATGTAGAATTTTGAATTTTTGGCAGAGTTGGGCAAGAAAAAACTATAATCAATACATATATTAACAGCAATATTTTCTGTCTTCAACCAAAGAAACTTTAATTATAACATTTTAAAAGAAGAGAGGCAGAGCAATGATCATTACTATAATAAGAAATAGGCTGTAGGAATTGAGGCTAACAAGATTGGACCTTTCTATAAACACTTTATATTTTGATTATTGAGAATAGAACTAAAATCAATTCATAAGTTATTTAATGTATGTTTTTTGTGTGCTATGCCCTGCATTAGGAGAAATTTTTAAAAACAGGAGAATCAGAACTAAATACTCCATCTGTGTGTACCCAGATCCTATGTCATTGCCTAGCATGCATAACGGTTGGCTGCTATTCAGTGAGGGAACTTGTACACAAAATGACATTCAACCTATTGGCCTCATTTTTTGGTAATTGTTTTGTGCTTGTTGTTTCCCATTAATTTTGTGATCCAATAACATAAAGCATTAGAATGAGAGTTAGAATATATCATTTTAAATTCTGTATGTTAAGTAATATTTTTAGAGATATTATTCATATGCCATAAAATTTTCACATTTTAAGTAAAATTCCAAGTTTTAAAAGGTATATTCACAGAACTGTCTAAACATCTCTAGAAACAACTACAAAACATTTGTTTCTGCCCTCTGCCAAAGAAACTCCATATCCATAAATAGCGACCTGACCTTTGTCCCAACCCCTTCTCCCTGACCTCTAAGTACCCATTAATTCCTATCTCTATTTACTATGCTTTTGTTTATTCTGAATAATGTCATTTTCTATAATTATCATTTCATATGTATATACTATTAAGTTACTATATAGCATTAAGTTGTTTTTCTATGTGAAACATGATTTATGGTAACTTTTCACTTAGAGGAGATAATTTAAAGGTGGGTATGATTTAAGAACTTTAATATTTTGTTGGATTCGTTTATTTATTTGTGTGTTCATGTGTACACAACACTGCACATTTGGTCAGAGGACAATTCAGGAGTTGTTTCTCTCCTTCCGTCATGTGAGTTCCAGAGATTGCACACCAGTCTTCAGTCTTGGTAACCAGTGTCTTAACCAGCTGAGCCATCTTGCCAACCTTTCAAAATAATTTCTAAAATCTAACTTGTCCTGGATTGAAAAGCGTTCATTGTTTGAAATGCCATATACTTCCCTTAGAGTTTGTGTTTTCGCATTCAATAATCCCTTATATATAAAAATGTCCGATTTAGTATAATGTCATCATAGCTTTATTGATATTTGCCCGTATAGTAAATTATGTCTTTCAATGTGATAAAATTTATTTCTACCACTAGAAAATGAACATGTTGAAAAGCCAAGGATTCTATGGGCACTCTACTTCAATATGAGAGATTCTTCAGATATCAGCAGAGATTGTTATAATGATTTACCATCCAATGTTTATGTGTGCTCTGGCCCAGACTGTGGTCTAGGAAATGATAATGCAGTCAAACAGGTAAGGCATTGGTGTTTCTCAGTTTTGTATTAAGAAATTGACACAGAGAAACCCTGTCTCTAAAAACCAAAAAAAAAGAAGAAAGAAAGAGATATACTGGGGTAAGTGAGTGGTTTATCCTCTTGGGAGGAGGGAAAAGAAAATAGTAAAACATCTTTCTTTCTCATTTAACACTGTTTGGCTTTTTTTTCCCCTGTGAACTACAGTGCTACGTTAAATATACTTTTATCAGCTATTTTACCTCCTTGAGTTATATAAGGAATTATAAAGGCTTATTTATGAGTACTACTTTGAGAATAAATAATGAAGATATTAGAAATACATATTCTTAAAATGAATTTAAAATGCCTGTATTCTTAAATAATGCTTCTAATAGAAACAGTTGGATTATTGGTGCATATTTTGAAAAAAATAAATGTTATTCTGCAACAACCTGAGCCATTTCTAGAAGGGTAGAATGAGTAAAGTATATAAGATAATTTTATAATGCTCTAATGCATTTCTTAATCTTAGAAAAGAATGAGTGATGTCATTTTATATAATGAACATAACACCATTAATGTTTTGACTCAATCCAGTGCCCCAAAGCTGCTGTTATAGTTGCCAAGAAGTATAATAAATCTACATGGGCTAGTCCTAGGTAGAGCTGTGAAGAAGTACCCACTTATTCTAGGCGCCAAAGGTACATTCTGATTCCATTAAGCAGAAGTTCCTTAGGGCATATTACAAAACCTGTTTTTTACCTTGATAGGAAAAAAAAGAAGAGAAGGTATGTTTTGAGACACATGTGTAAACTTTTGTCAGATGCTTTTGGCACATCCATCGTTTAGTCAACAAGTAGATGATTTAATATTGTTTTTGGTTTTTAGTAAATTTTGTTCTTCATAGTTTCATATATGTACATTGTGTATTCTAAATACTTTTAATCTACCCATTCCTATTTCCTTACCAACCCTGTCGGTAATCCCCTTACTCACAAACGTGCACACTACAAATCTCTTTCCCCTATTTACCAGTTTGGGATTTGTTTAATACCCCCATGTAGTTTGGATAGGGCCAAGTATGTGACTAAGTTTGAAACTAACCTTGAGGGCCTGAACTAGTGAGTATGCAACTAGATACTCTGCCTCCCCAATCCTAAACTCTATTGGTTACTAATAGATCAGCAGTAAGTGGTAGACCCCCTTCAGTCTCATCTCCTTCCATACCTCAAAGGTATGAGGGCCTAACTTTTGTGAGTTCATGGTTGCCATGGCTATATCTTTCTTACTTACAAAATGGTATTTCACATCTTCTTTCCACCCCTTTGTCTGCAGTTCCCTGAGCTTTGTGGAGTGTATGTGTGTATGGGAGGGGTTGACTCTAAGACCACAGAAGACCATGGATTCAATTATATTATCACCAGTAACAGTGAGTTTAGTACCAAGTGGTCTTACTGAAACTTTAAAAATCTCTTTTGGCCGGGCGGTGGTAGCGCACGCCTTTAATCCCAACACTCGGGAGGCAGAGGCAGGCAGATCTCTGAGTTCGAGGCCAGCCTGGTCTCCAAAGTGAGTTCCAGGAAAGGCGCAAAGCTACACAGAGAAATCCTTTCTCAAAACAAAACAAAAATCTCTTTTGGTACAGCAGTAATGCTATGAACAGTGTGAACCAACCTTTGCCATAATTTTATATTTCATCATTAGAGTCTAATATTGGTCCTGGAAAATTATGCTAGGTCCTGAATGATGTCAAACGTACAGGAAATTACAACTCCTACCCATAGCTCAAGATTTGCATTGTCTTAAACTATTAACTTCGTTTTTACTTTAGTGACCCATTTTTCATGAAAGAAGAAAATTTCAAAAAGCCTTTAGCCAATCAACTTAGGTTGGTATTTTTTCCTGAGTAAACAAACTTTGTTTTAAATCAAAATAGTTGAATTTTAAAATAAGGACTTAAAAGTGCTTTTGTGAGCTATACTGCATACTAGAAGATTACAGGTAAGAGGCTATTTTTTTTAATGCAGTAATTTGCTTCACAAAAAGATAACTTTCATAGGTTATATGAAATATAATGAAGAAAACACCATTAATGTTTTTTGAATGCTCATTAACATGTTACATCTCATATCCACTTGAGGAAAAATATGCCTTTAAAGAACATCAGTAATATTTATAAATTGCCAATTTATTCTGATAAATTGAGCTCTAATTCCAGTGTATCATCATGTGGTTATCTCAGTCACCTGAGATACTGGCAACTTCTGTTTTCTAAATAAGGAAATTATTCATGAAAGCTCTCAGAATATTATCATGGCTTTGCCTATGTAAAATGCAGAGGCCTCTGCAGAGTTGTAATATATTTCTTTCTCAGCTAAAGTTATGCATTTTAACATTTGGAAATTTTGCACCTCTTACCTGTTAATGCATAGAGATTGAATATATAGATCTGACTTTCTTGTGTATATGTTACAGCTTATGATTTTAGGATGCACTAATGACTTACACACTGATAATACTACTTGATCTGGCTTTAGAAGCCACCAGTTCAGTATGTATAGTGACCATGAAAACCTTGTATGGTGGGACATGATAAATCAAATCAAAGACAAACACTGCAGATGGAGAGAATAGCATCTTGACCTGCACAGGATGTAAACATTGTGTTTTAGAAAGTCCAAATAACCACTTCTTAGTGTAGCAAAACATGAGATCTGGAGGTTGAAAGAAATGATAGAAGGTAGGACCAGAGAAAGTAGGCTGAAAGAGTTTATAAGGTAATAGCTAGGACTGTCACTTTTATCTTGTCAGTAATGGGGTGATTTTAAGCTGGGAAGTGGCATAAAGAGAATTTTGTTTTCCATAAGCACCAATGAGAGTCGCATAGAGATAGATTATGGTAAGAGGCAGGGTCCTTGAGGCAAGACGACTACTCCGATTTACAAACTGTCTCTTTGACAGATGGTGCCTGCTGGAACTTTGTCAGTGGGGAAAGAACAGAGTTTAAGAAACAGAAAATGTCACACATGGGGGAGGGTCTTGGACCTACCTCAGCTGATTGTGCCAGGCTCTGCTGACTCCCCATGGGAGACCTTGACTTGGAAAATTTGGAGACGGGGATTGTTGAGGGGGATAGCTGGGGGTGGGAAGAGGAAAAGGGGGAGGGGGTATCTGTGGTTGGTATATAAAGTGAATAGAAAATTTCTTAATAATAATAAAAAAAGAAAGAAACAGTCCAGTCAATCCTCAGGGGAGTATTTGCCATGAAGGAGATGAGAATGGGGGGGGGCCCCTTGGGGAAAGGCGCGGGAGGGGGAGAACAAGGGAATCCATGGCTGATATGTAAAATTAAATTATAAAATAAAATTTAAAAAAAAAGAAACAGAAAATGGCATTCCCATGAGTTGCCATCTGTTTACATGGGGAAGCAAAGGGGAGGGAGAAGTTTTATAGACAGGATGGAAATACAGGACAAAAGGCCATCAGGGAGAACTGAGGTGTGAAGTAGTAGAGGCCTTGATGTAGTTCTTCAAGCCTCTACAGTAGGAGCCAGGAATCTCTGGCAAAGGCATATACTGAATTCATAGGATGAAGAGCAAAGTAAGCATGTCTGGTATTTAATTGAGATATTTGTTTGTAGTAGACAGCACAGAGTTAACTGTGATCACTATGCAGCACATTAGATCCACAACAGTTAGTCATTTTGTCACTAAAAGTTTATATCGTCTGTTCACTATTTCCTTATTCCTCCACTTTATACTTCAAGAGACCAGATGTTAAGTGTTCTAACTATGAACATCCAAAATGGTAGCTATGAATGTTTTTGTTTTTAATTAGAATAAAAGGTATTTCAGATCATTGTGGAATTTTCAAATAAAACTTGATTTTTGTCACTTTGAATTTGAATCAGTTTGCTTAATGTACTTTCCAAATCTAAGTTAAGGCATGATTTAGTTCATTTGATTTTGGTAACCATTATACCATGCATGCCAAGATGTTACTACATACATATATATTCAACTAAATATTTCAAATTTTCAAAGTATATACATAGTAAATATTCTGTTTCAAAATGTGTATGTACTTGAAGCATACCTAAAAATCATATTGCTTTCAAGTCCATATTAAATGCAAGAAAATGGCTCTGTTGGTAAAGGTGCATGCCATGAAAGCCTCACAACCTGAGCTCAAATCCCAGAACCTAAAGTAGAAGGAAAAAAACAACTCCAGAATGTTGTCTTCTGGCTTCTACATGTGTGCTTTGGCATGCATGTTATACACATATGTAATAAAAAATAAAGAATTCAAATCAAACTCTCCACCAAACTCTCGGGAATATCATCTTTAATCATCTAGTGAAGGTGTCCAGATGGTAAATATTTAGTTTATAAAGCCTGTGTACTCTTCATTGAAACTTCTCAGCTCTGCTATTAAAGAGAAAAGGCAGCTATAGATAGTGGGTGAACTAATGAGAATTGTGTTCCAATAAACTTGTATCTAAAAAAGCAAGAGGTGGTCTGGGTTGGACCTGTGGGCCATAGATGGTCAAGTTTTGGCCAAATAGATGTCTTTGCATGCTGTGGGGGGAATAATGCTCTTGTACACTGTAAAGATTTTTCACTTGAATTGGTTTAATAAAATGCTGATTGGCCAGCCAGTAGCCAGGCAGGAAGTGCAAGTGGGGCAATCAAACTAAGAATGCTAGGGAGAGGAAGGGCGGGTAAGGAGAAGCCAGCAAGCTGCCCAAGAACCAAGATGTGAAAGTACTGATAAGCCACCGGCCATGTGGCGATACATAGATTAATAGAAATGGGTTAATTTAAGATGTAATAAGCCTGAGCCATAGACCAAACCATTTGTAATTAATATTAAGCCTCTGACTGGTTATTTGGGAATAGGCAGACAGGAGAGGTTCATCCAACTACACTTGCATGTGTATTACAAAGAAGGGAGAAGCAGTATAGGAAACCAGTGTGTTCTTTAACACCTTAAAATGACTCTTCCTTACCAGTTGCCTCGAGTAGAAGCTCCCTAGCATGACACAAAGCTTTAACAGTGAGGTGATTATTGTGACTTGGCCATATTTACTATCTGTTTATTATTAGCCTCATGTTTGCTTTTTTAGTCTCTTACCTTGTTCTACTAAACTCAGCCGCATATACTGGTTAAAATCTGTTTACTTAAGTTTTTAAAGATGTGATTTTTTTAGATAGTGCCACAAATGCACATACATTTTAAGCTGATGTCCAAAAATTAATTTGTCCTTTCATCCTTGACTAGGCAGAAACACTTTTCCAGCAAATCTGCCCAAATGAAGACTTCTGTCCAGCCCCACCAAATCCTGAAGATATTGTCCTTGAGGGAGACAGCTCACAACAAGAAGCTTCAGAATCCAGTGTCATACAAGAGGCCAACTCAGAGATTCCCAAGGAAAGTACAGACCTGGGAAACCCAGAGGAGCCCTCTGAGTAGTGCATATGCCTCAGACTTAATATCCTAACTTGGAAATTCCTCTTGGTTTCATAGTCTTCTTGATGGAAGGAATATATGAAATCTTTTAGAAAACAACAACCAATAGGCAAAATTACAAGAAGAAATGAGTCCCAGAAATTTAAAGGGGAATTTTCTTCAAAGAGAGCATTTCCAGGAACATAAAACACTTGTAAAGCACATTGACTTGCCTGTTTTAAGATAACAAACCTGTAAGATTAGCAAATAAAAAATATAAATGGACTGATTCCTAGGAATGTAGCTATGATGTGAAAGGGATCCTATGCATAGTTAGTAATTATGTGGTGTTCACATAAATTTGTTTGCCACTTGGGATCTTTTTTGTTGAAAGCCACATCTGGAGAGTCAGCTCACATACTTATTTTGATTATTTGAATTATATTTTCATTCTGGGTATGATATAACAGATAAAAGGATATGTAAATACAATAGAGTAAAGCTAAGCTATCATAATCTGGCCAGAAGCCTATATTTGGGGTAAAAGTTGGTTTTATTTTCTATGTTAAGAACCAAAAATGTCAATACTAAGGTGTTCAGATGTTTTGCTAATAATGATTTGTTAGTAATTAGTAATTTGGATGTAATATTATACACACTGGCTAAAGTTCAAAAATGAGGAAATGTAAGAATGGAAACAAACATTTGGAAAAGGTCCTTCATGATTCTACTAAATCAGGGTAACTGATGCACGAACCTCCTTGTTCCCAGAACTAATTTCATTATGGCTATGCTACTCAAAATATTAGGCAAATTGTTTAACTTCTTATCTTCAGTTTCTCCAGATTCAAAGTAGAATACTATGCTTACTATGTCAGAGTGGTTATGAGATAAATGCAGCACCATCTTTAGAATGGTTCTTCTGGAAAAATACTGTTTTGAAACTTTCTCATTGATTGACCTGTGGATAAATATCAAACCAACCTCATGATCACAGTGTTATATTTATTGTGTTAAAATTTTAAAATGCAAGTCTGTTTCCTCATTAGTAACAAGTGGAATGGTCGTTTTTAAAGTCTTAGAAATACTTAATAAATTCATATTCCTCTTCTGGCAACTAAACCTGAAACCATGGAGAACTGAACAGAGTATAACAGTTAATAAACTGAAATACACACTTTACATGAAAACATGAGGGCTATACATTGGCAGCAAATCTATTTGCAATGCCTGCAATTTAAATTTCTCCAAGCTCTGGTGGTCTACTTTCTTTGAGCAATAGTTTGGACCTAGAACTACCTGTAAATAAATAAACAATAAATAAACCCAGTGCTTCCTGTCAGTGAGCAGTGGCTCCAGTGTAAAGCATAGAGTTCTCCATGTGCAGCTAGTTCCTGGCCTGGCCAGGTTTCAGGGAAGATTTCAAAGGAAGCTCCCAGCAGAGTCTTAAGAAATGGAAAAATCCAAGGAATGTTGCTCTTGCTGACCCCTGCAGATTGAATTGAATTGAGGAAGGAGGACAAACATCCCAGATTCCCTGGCTAGTCTTCTCAGACTGCCTGCACCTCCTGCTGTACAGCCCTCTCTCCTCTGTAGTACCCTTTCCCTTTTGTAATGTCACACAAATCAGGGACAGAATCACATTATAAACTACTTTGTCACAAAGCTTCAGCTCTTCAGTCTGTTGTTGTTTCCTGAAGCCCAACTAGGGCATGCACTAAATGCCAAGTACACACCTGTACAGCACCAGGTATTGGTCCTGCCTCTCCATGGCAGCAATAGGGAAGTTTCTCTTAGATGGGGATATTCAGTTGGAATACAATCACAATAAAGTTGCACCACTAAAAATGTTATACTTTGTTATAATCTAGAGTTAAGACCTCCTAAATGTAGCATGCGCATTTACCTAAGGAGACAATTAGGCTAGATAGGTTTAGAATAACTAGAAACCTTTGGACACTGCAGCTATATAAATTGTAGAGCAGCAGCAGCAACTATTGTATGCTTTCATGGCCTAGCTAATACTGTAGCTTTTTTATTCCTTTGATGTCACCCAAACAATCGCGCTTCCAGGTCATTTACTAAATATATTGTTGAAATGCTTCAAGTAGTGGTTAAAAATACCACAAAACTCTTCTTAAAGATTGTAAAGACAGTTCTTCCTATTTCCTGTTGCCTCAGAATGCAATACTAAACATTTGAAGAGCATTTTCTTGTTTTCTTAATTACTGCCAGTAAATACTTATTTTTGCTGTTTTAACTTCAAAACAATACCAACAACAATCATTAAGGTAATGTTGTAAAACCATAAGTTTAACATGATATGAATAAAATTGCTGTTTTACATAATGCAAATATTACAGTAATTTAAACTTTGAAAGTTGCTGTTATCAAAGAATTTTTACTTGTATGTTCAAAATATTTAAATATGCATGCCTGTTTTCTTAGTAACCAAAAATCATATCATTAAGTGATTGATATAAGATCCAACAACTAATCCCATGTTGCTTTTGTATATTTTTTCTAGTTGGTGTGCCTGCCCAAGAAAACATAAACAATAGATGTCACTTTCTATTTTTCTAAAGTAAAATGGCCACAAACATGGGTAACTTCTAGGATAAAGGAAATTTCTAAAATAATATCCACAATTATAAAGTTGATTGTTGACAATTATTAATTTCTGGCAAAGTTGTTTCTAGATTTTTTTCTGTCTTAAATTTTCTTTTCTAGTTTCTAAATAGTAGCAATCATTTTAAAGGAATTAAAACCATTTTCTTGCAAATTATTTATGTACTGTTATTGGTATTGAATAATTTGTCTTTTTGCTCAGTAAACTTTATTATATGTATTTTTAAAAGCATGAATAATAATTTGCACACTGTAACAGGGAGTTTTCAGAGGAAATAAAGACTTTTCAATGCCTTTCCACTGTAGTGGCCTATTCTTTCATATTTGAATTTTGTGTATAGGGTAGAGATGCAGCTGAATGGTAGAGACTTTGCTTAGCAGTGTACCTACTAGAATTTTTCAGTGTAGACAGCCTATTATCTAGCACTTCCACTCCTCATAGAAGATTTCCTTAGCTTATAGTCAGCTCTGCATGTGTTTGATTATAACTTAAGTATTCTTTAATAGGAGACTGACTTAAATCAATGTGTATTGATTAGTATAAAATACTAATCCCAAACACCACTTTTAAAAATATATAAATGCCAGGTAGTGGTGGCACACACCTTTAATCCCAGCACTCAGGAGACAGAGGCAGGTGGAGCTCTTGTGAATTCAAAGCCAGCCTGGCAGGACAGCCATTGCTACACAGAGAAATGCTGTCTCGAAAAACCTAGGGTGTGTGGGTGTGTGGGTGTGTGTGTATGCCAATGCCAATAACTAAAAAGATTGTCTTGGATCTAGGTTAGTCTTCTGCTTTTATACTGTTATTAAATAGTTGTCCACTGTGTGTTTTATTTAATTTGCAGGCATCTACCTACCCACAGTGATAAATTTGTATGGCAGACTATCAAACTTTGAATGGGTTTGGTTTAACTTAACAAAATGTTCTAGAAACCAATATTAATGTCACTATCAAACAAAAGCAGATGGTAGTTTATCCTGAGATCAGTGTTACGGAAGGTTGTGAGGCATAAGCTATGACTTTACAGTACATTGGACAACTACAACCTGCTTTCGCATCTTAGAGAAAGAGAATCCAAAATCTTTTTTCATGTTTGGTAATGAAAACTGGAAATGCATTTCTCTTAGGTGTTTGAATCTCTAACAGCTTATTTGCAGTAGGAAAAATGATTGCTTCCATTCTTTGTATGCAGAAGTAATTCATTAAGCTATGTTTTTTTTTTTTTCAACAAAATAATCAGGGAATACTGGTATTTTCTGTCAATTCCAAATAGTTCATGAAGCTCCTCAGAATGTATTCAAAAGCTAACTAGAATTCTTACAAAACTGGCAATTTATCTGTAAGATTATTAATAAATCAAGACTTTGAAAGCTAAGGTTGATTGAATTTTTAAACAAGTAGCTGTGTTATCCTTCAAGCACCATGGAGCTCATAGAGTATTAACACTCTTAAAAAGTGCTTTGATATGTTTGAATTCTGTTTAATAATAGCTGTTTAAAGCACCAAGCAGTTTAACACTCGGCTTTCCAAGTCCCATTTTGAAGGCCATGTTCTTTCCATTAATGCAGTTTTGCTGTGGACTCCAGTGAGAAGTCCTTCCCCTGCAAGTTGCTGTGTCTGCTCTATCTGGTGATGAGGGTTCAGGATCATTTGACAGGCAATCAGTCATTAGAACTTAAATCCTAGTAGACTGTAGTCTTTTTGCTGATCACTGTAAGAAGATTAATCTGGTAACTCCTATCAATGCTAATAGGACTTGATTGTGTAAATCCTCTTTCTATAAAGTGGATAATCAAACCCTAAAAGAAAATTAGCTAGTGATGTACACTGTCACTGTTCAAGAAGCAGCACTGAGTATCTCTACTCTGGATTTTCACGTGTGGCGGAAAAGCATCAGTGTACCACGTCAGCAGAGATTAATAAACTTGAAAGACTCTTGATTTTCTATTTCCATTTTAATACATAATAGAAACTTGTGCTTCTAAGAACTATCAATATAAATTTCTCTTGTATAAGAGGAAACTTATTTTTTTATTGGTTGGTTGGTTGGTTGGTTGTTTTTGTTGTTTTAGGCAGGATCTCACTATGTATCACTAAATGGCCTCGAACTTGCTATTTACACAAGACTGGACTCAAACTCAGAGATCCACCTGCCTCTGCCTTCTCAGTGCTGGAATTAAAGGCATGCACCACCACACCTGTCAAGAGTAAACTTATTTAAATTAATTTTTTGAGAAGTTCATACTTGAGTACTATATTTACATCACTTCCACTTCCTCCTGATCCCATGTCCCTGTACACTCTGAAATTTGTAACATCTTTAATTATTATTGTTAGATACGCACACACCACAACCTACTGAGCCCCTTTAGTGTTGCTTTTATGTGCTAGCTCAGACCACTTAGAATCAGCCTGACCTACCGGGAAGCTCATCCCTGGATAAAACTGATTCTCCCTTCTCATCAGTCATTGATTGCCTGTAGCTCTTCATCTAGGAATGGGACCTTGTGAAATTTACCCAGTTGAGATTGGTATGTCAAATGATATTGTCATTTTGCAGGTCTTGTTTAGGCTACTATATAGTTGAGATTTCATCAGTGCAGCATTCCTATCATATCTAGAAAACACTTATCTAGCAGCAGGTGTTCTCGTCTACCTTCTCATTCATGATTTTTCCTGAGCCTTATGTATGGGGGTTGTGTTGTAGATATATCATTTGGGGTTGGACATGGTCCCTAATCTGCATTTGGAGCAGTTATGGATCTTTGTAATAGTCTCTGTGTGTTGCAAAATGAAGCTGCTTTGATATGTGAGAGCTACACTTACCAGTAGATATAAGGATAAGTCAACTACTTTGGCATTGTTATTAATATGCCAGTATTAATATGCATGAGTAGATGGGCAGCACTAATTGGACTCAGGATTATTAAATTTAAAAAGAGGACATGACATAAAGATGGGCACAAGATGGAGTGTGGACACTTGGGGGGAGTTGGAGGGAGGTGTCACTACTCTAGAGGTGGTGGGACCTGGGAGAATAGAGTTGATAAATGAAGTGGGCCAAAGTCTCATGCACCAACTTTATTCAGAGCATCAAACAATTTATACTCTGAGGGCTAAAAAAGAATCACACGAGTAATGTTCTCATGGGTACAAGCTGTATACAATTACAAGGACAAGCCACACATAGCAAAAAATATGTTTTTCCATAGAGGCATATAAAGGATGGTTTAAGCATTAAATTGATTAATGGCAGCAAGCAGTGATGAGTAATCTGAAGAAAATCACTCCTAAGCCTAGGAGGAGCACAAAAACAGTCTAACAATTCTGTGTTTTAAACTGTGGTCACAAGACCCTTTCCTCTGAGTGTTCTTACAAGCACTCAGAATTCTCACATGACTACATTCCTGAGCCCTGTTCCAGCAGGGGCCTAGTGGTACACAAATATGATCAAAATGCATTATTTAAATCTATGGAATTTTCAACGAATAAAAAATGTTCTGGAAATGTTGAGCTACTCTCTCACTAGTCAAGGAAAGCTATACCAGCCTGGAGGGTGGGGGATTGTAGACTTAACAGAGTCTATAAGATTGATAGTAGACAGGAATGGTAAGTATGTAAGGGATGACTCATCCCTAACAGGCTTGAGGGCCAGCCACCCAAACAAGTAAAAAAGATACTTTCTGAGATCCAACCTGGGTCTGCCTAAGGGCTTTAGCAACAGCAGCTAAAACATGATCTGGAGATGACCTGGACCAATGAGAGGCAGCCATGTCACACCAGCAGATGCATATTCATCAGACCTTCCCCCAGGGTGGGGTGGAGGGTATATAAAGCTTGCCTCTTCCTGAATAAACTGAGCTTGTTTCAACGTTCTCCCAGAGTCTATGTCGTTGACTCTGTGCCTACTTGGCCCCCTCCCCCAAAAGGAACAACAGCATAGGACCCTGCCACAAGTATGTACAGGAAAGCCACTAACAAATCAGTATACAAATTGGTTATACCTTTTTATATGAGCGACAGTTTGTCAGTACTTATCAGAACATTTAAGTGCCCATAGCTTGTAGTGAGTCGCCGTTCCAGCTTTGACCTGGAAGTACCACCCCCTTTGAGGCTTCGGTAACTGTCACACCTACAAGGCAGAGCCAAGAAAGGACCCCTGAAAACCCGAGATCTGGATGGGCCAGCTCTCTTCGGCCCTGAATCCTGGACTTGGGAGGTAGACCGAGCAGAGTTCTCTAGAGAACACCACTGGACTACACTTCATCTATCCCAGACCCTGTTACCTATCCCTTCACTTATAAGTTACCCCACAAAATAAACC